AGAGATCTGAGGAATGGATCTGACAATATTTTTAGAATCGTGGTCTTTTCATTTGTCTGCCAATTAATCTATAAAACTGTTTTGTTGATGTTTCTTTTCATTGTCTTTGCTAGCCAAGTCAAGCTGTAAGGCTGCTGCAGTTCAGGCAGATCTACATACTTGTCTTGATCTTTCTAAGAAGTTGCAGGGCATCTGGGCCCCTCCAAGCGACAACTTTGGAAGAAGTATGATGTCAAAGTTGTTTGTAGATTGTCCATCAGATTTTAATGCTCTTTTTGGGTTCATGAGTGTGGATTCGTCTTGCAAAATGGTGTCCCGCCTGGCAGTTGAAGGCTCTTCTGATGCTTCAAAAGTATCTACTCTTTACTCTGCTGTGACAAAGGTAAGGTTGAAGGTTAAATTTCTGCTCTAGAATAAGAAAGGTCCATCCAAGGATTCCTATTCTATTTTAATTTAGATAGAATACTGAAAGTGTTTTTTCTGTACCTGAATGGTAGTTTGGACCAGGAAAGAGTTGGAATAAGAGGGATCTGAAGTGCCATACAAAGACATGATTCATGATGTGATATATATTTGTTATTTTTCTCTTATATGATGTTTAAGTGATTTGATTTTTTTAGCATCAAGTTGCTTTAACAATTGTTATCACTTGTCACTATAGCTCAAGTTGCCTTATTTAGAAAATGATTGCAGGTGTACTGTTGTTGAAATTCTGTATAGACCTTGTTATAATTTTTGTCATCCAATGAAGATGTCATTCTGTTCTCAAATTTAATTACATGTCCATTGATTCCTTTTTCACATTGTGAAACTCCAAATCGTGGTTCAACATGTTGGCATATTGTCAATATTTATTCTTAAAATTATCCCATTTTGCTTGATTTGTCTTTCTTGCAGATCAGCAATGGAATGATGCCCTTAGAGACTCTATTTGAACCATTATTTGATCTTTGCAGGGTGGAAAATGTGAGTTGCAAAGCTTTCTTTTCCTTGAGTTTGTTGAAAAAGTTTATCTCACAGTTTTACTACTTTAGTAGATGTAAGGTTACTGGTTGTGTTGTTTTTCTCATCCATTTGCATTTCGAAAATCTTTTTGTTACAGAATGTTATTGCTCATAGATCTCTCCATATACTCCATGTCCTGTTGAAGCACCTCTTAACTTTTGAAAGGAAATCTGAAGGAAGGTATAGCTTGCACTTGCTCACATAAATTTATGAATAGTTTTTTTTTTTTTTATCAGCTGTTGTCATAAATTTATTGTATCATTGTGCAAAAAAGTTGCTTAGATCCATGTAGCTAGGCATTTCCTTATAGGGGAAATAACTTAGTATGGCACACACTTGGTTACTAGTTACCCATGTGAAGGAAGTTATTTGTTGTGGGATGTTATGAGTTCCTTCTATTACAGTATTACCTAATACTTTGTAATTTTTTTTTTTCCTTTTTGTTTTTCTGGTGCTCCATTTTATGGGGAAAAAAT